AAACCACTCCTCCGGTGGCCGACAAAGCAGCCTCGTGGGGCAAAGCAGCGGCACCGGCCGGCACAGCCGTGCTGGCCAAAACAGCCACGCTGGTGACCTGTGGAGCTCCTCCGCCTGGGAATTTCCTAGTCTGTGGGCAATAAAAATGCGGCGTCCACTCACCCTCTGCACTTTCACTGGGAGCTGCAATCCTAAGCTGTTCCTAAAAGCGGAATCTTCATTCTTAAAAGATCAGTGTTGATTCTTCACAAGAATAGTAATTAGAATGATTTTGATCTCTTCCATCAAGTCAATCCAGACATGTTAGCTTAGATTGCCCTGAGAGACCAGTAGAAGTTAGATGTGCTGATTTTTAACCCTGGCGTCTGGTGGAAAGCCAGAGTGAATTCCAAAGATTTAAAGCAAATGTCTCTATTATTTGGAAAGAAATTACAGCCTGTTTAGAAACTCTTGTTTCTAGTCTGGTAAGTATTGTATTAACTACCACTCTCTCTTCAGTAAAAAGTTGTCAATTAGTTAACTCTTTCTGGGCTATAATGTAGACAACAATAATGTAGATTAGTGTTGTCTAATTGACATAGAATGTGAGCCACAAATGGGAACTATACATACAATGTTAAATTTTCTACTGGCCACATTGAAAACAAAGAAAAAAAAAAACAGAAAAACGAACAATCCACCCCGAAAGGTGAAATTAATTTTAATAATACAGTTTATTTTTCCCAATGCATTCAAAGCGTTTTCATTTCAACATATAATCAATATAACAGTTATTCATGAAATATCTTACATGTGTTTTTATATTAAATATTTGAAATTCATATACTTACAGCATATTTCTCTTTGGACCAGCTGCATTTCAAGTGTTTAATGATCACTTTGACCAGTGGCTACCAGCCTTAAATAGAGGGCCTGGTGAGGTGGTTTTTCTTCTTCAGATTTGCAGAGACTTCTTTGAGCCACTGTATTAGTCAGGGTTCTCTAAAGGAGCAGAACTAATAGGATAGATGAATATATAAAGGGGGATTTATTAGGAGAATTGACTTATACAATCATAGGATGAAGTCCTGCAATAGGCATCTGCAAGCTAAGGAACCAGAAAGCCAGTCTGAGTACCAGAACCTCAAAAGTAGGGAAGCTGATAGTGCAGCCTTCAGTCTGTGGCCAAAGGCCCCAGAGCTTCTAGCAAGTCACCGTTTTAAGTCCTAGGGTCCAAAAGCTAAGAACTTGGAGTCTGACGATTGAGGGCAGGAAGCATCCAGCACGGGAGAAAGATGGAGACCAGAAGATGCAGCCAGTCTAGTCCTTCCATGTTCCTCTGCCTGCTTTTATCCTAGCTGCACTGGCAGCTGATTAGACGGTGCCCACCCAGATTGAGGGTGGGTCTGCCTCTACCAGTCCACTGACTCAAATGTTAATCTCCTTTGGCAACACCCTCACAGACACACTCAGTAACAACACTTTGCATCCTTCAATCTAATCAAGTTGACACTCAATATTAACCATCACAGCCACACAGTTCCCTAAAACAAAATGATTTCCTAAGCCCTATGTAATTTCTATATTGCAGATAAGTTCAGACTCTTTTCCATTGATTGTAATTCAGATTCATTCAAATTTCTTCCTTTCTCCAAGTGGATGGCTATCTTTGCTTCCCTACTCTATTCCACCTCCCCACTCCCACTCCCTCCCAGAGAAGAATTTCCCATAAATTTAAATGGCCACACATTTCTACCACGGTGCCAAGATTTCCTCCAGACAAATCATTAGGGCTTTCCTCAACTTAACCTACAACCTGACCCCAGCCCACACCATCCCCATCAGAAGGCAACCTACAGAGCATCAGCATGGAAAACTGAATTTTTTAAAGGAAAATGCCCTCCCATAGGACAGAGACAACAGAATAAGAATCTAAGGACTATGGGTCACATTTGCTAAAACTCAGCGATCTGTCTGGAATGAATGTAGTAGACTTAAAAAAAATCAATTTTTCTAGTTATGCAAATGCGTTTAACTGGCTTTAGTTTAAATAGAGAAGATTGACAATGTTGGATCAGTCCTCTTTTTATTCCAATAAAACACAGAGTAATATAAACACAGTATGAGCAGAAGAAAGTTGTTAGAAAATTTAGCTAATATACACTATACAAGAGTTCTCCCACGAGTACAATTCCTTCTGCTGGAGTTTGCACTGTTAGTCTGCTTTTCTTCTGGGTATGGTGCAGTACCTGGCACCTACTAAGTCTCAATAAATATTTGTTGGATTAATAAACAAAATATCCAACTTTAAAAGTTTTCCATTGTGTATACTATAAGAATAATACTGAAAGATACTCAATTAGTACAGGGCAAAGAATGCACCAGTTCAGCTAAATTGTTGTTAGCTGAATAGTTGTTAAATTATTATAATTTTTAAAAGCAGCTGGAGAACAATTCCCCACCACCAGCAGCCCTGCCCCCACTCTTCAGTCCTCCCCTCAGTCTCCCACCTCTCAAGATCCACTCACTGAAGAACAAGGGCCTGGCACCTTCACTAGCCATTAGTTCTAACTGGGCACGTTCCAGCTGGCAATGTCTGGATGAAAATATTTTGAATATAATTCTCAAGTGTATGTTGAACCAAACCCTTTGGAAAAGCATATGAAGTGAAGTGCCTTAAGTGATATTTATTGTCCATGAAAAAACATTCCTGATAGAAGTTTTTAAAAGTTTTTTATTGTTGATATGTTTTTATAAGACTCTGCAATACACTGTGAAACTAATTGTACATAGGGATCCTTTCGTGAAAACAAATTTCATTCTGATTTAAAATAAACCCACTAAAACATTTCATTTATCTCTCTTACAATTGATTTTGTTGTATTGTTAAAGGGTTTTCTGCACAAATTTGGCATTGTAGAAGTATGTTTCAAATAGTATAGGAAAACAAATTATCAGGGTTTATCAGGGGTGTGGAATATTTACAAATCCTCAACTAAATTTGCAGTGTTTGGTTACATGAAGACAAAAACATGAAAGAATACTTGAGAAAAATACTTGAGACAAAGAGAGAAGAAATAAAATTGTTAGTCATGGACACTCCTGATGCCTTTTGTACAGGTGCAACTTTCTATACTACATTGTGTTATTATTTACCTTGCGGATAAATCCTCCCTTCTATTTTGAATCTTGAAAGGGGAAATATAGACAAATTATGAAAAGATTAATAAACCAACAAAGATGAAAGATATTCAAACAATTTTCATAACGTAATTATGTGTTCTTAAGATCTCTCTGAAGTTTTGATACAACCAAGTGAATAAATAAGTTTTTAGAAATATTACATAATACGTTTGTAAGAACATATCTTATTCCTGATAATTTTTTTAATAGAATTATGCTTCAATACATGACAGGAACTGAATTTTATTAGATAACTAAAACCATAAATAAACAACATGAAATTGTTTTTACTGAATTGGGAAATAGAGATCTTGTGAAAGTTTTATTGGCAACTATCAGCTTGGCCCAACAAATAATTTTGGCTAAGCATGGGAAGTCAGTGGTCTGTTTTACCATAGTCAAAAAGCTTTCAATACAAGTTAGTGTCAGGGTTCAAACAAATATATACATCCAAAACTGCTTTGCCTTGAGATAAGTCCTATCTTTATACCACTAGTCACATAAATGTCAAGCATCAAAATAAGTTTATAGAAAGACAAAAGAGAAATAAAGTCATAGGGTATCCAGTAAAGTCATGGAGCCCTGTGAGGTCTTTACTACGAGGATTAAAGAAGCAGGTGGGAGGATAATCAGATCTTGTTTGTGGAACTGGTTTTCTCAAATCCAGCTTGTGCTTTATCAAATGTTTTCTCTAATTTTCTATACTTTTTTAAATCTCTTTTTTTTCCTTTCTCTTTAGAATCTTTCTTAGACTCTCCCCTAAAAATATCATTTCTTTTAATAATTCAGAGTATTGACCATCCAGTAGATTCTTAAACACACAACATAAAAATCATTGGATGTGCCAAATAAATTCCTGTATTAATGTACTATACTATAATTTTATTTTTCACCATATGAAGACAGCATCATCTCAGAAAGATATTTGGGAGTAATTACCAAATAAACTTCCACATCAAGAATGAGGAAAGTTGCTAGCCAATTCATTCCCTGTTCCAAAACATTGTGGAATGGATTATAAAACAATTTTTACAGCCTATCTGTAAGAAACAGTGGACTAATTTACACTCTCACCAACAGTGTAAAAGAATTCCTATTTCTCCTTAGCTTCACCAGCATCTGTTGTTTCCTGACTTTTTTTTTTTTTTTTGAGACAAAGTCTCACTCCATCACCAGGTGCCAGGCTGGAGTGCAGTGGTGTGACCTCGGCTCACTGCAACCTCCGCCTCCCGAGTTCAAGCAATTCTCCTGTCTCAGCCTCCCAAGTAGCTGGGACTACAGGTGCGTGCCTCCACACCCAGATAATTTTTTTGTATTTTTTGTAGAGACAGGGTTTCACCATGTTGGCCAGGATGGTCTCAATCTCTTGACCTCGTGATCTGCCCACCTTGGCCTCCGAAAGTGCTGGGATTACAGGTATGAGCCACTGCACTTTTTAATAATTGCCATTCTAATTGGTGTGAGATGGTATCTTGTGATTTTGACATGCATTTCTCTAATGACCAGTGAGCTGAACTTTTTTTCATGTTTATTAGCCACATGAATGCCTCCATTTGAGAAGTGTCTGTTCATATCCTTTGTCCACTCTTGATGGGGTTGTTTGTTTTTATCTTGTAAATTTGTTTAAGTTCCTTGTAGATTTTGGATTTTGTCAGATGGGTAGATTGCAAAATTTTTCTCCCATTCTGTAGGGCCTGTTTACTCTGGTGCAGAAGCTCTTTAGTTTATTTAGATTCCATTTGTCAATTTTGGCTTTCCTCAAGGATCTAGAACCAGAAATATCATTTGACCCAGCAGTCCCATTACTGGGTATATACTCAAAGGATTATCAATTTTTCTACTATAAAGACACATGCACATCAATGTTTATTGCAGCACTATTCACAATAGCACAGACTTGGAACCAACCCAAATGCCCATTGATGATAGACTGGATAAAGAAAGTGTGGCACATATACACCATGGAATACTATGCAGCCATAAAAAATGAGATCATGTCCTTTGCAAGGACATGGGTGAAGTTGGAAGCCATCATTCTCAGCGAACTAACACAGGAACAGGAAACCAAACACCACGTGTTCTCACTCACAAGTGGGAGTTGAACAATGAGAACCCACGGACTCAGGAAGGGGAACATCACACACTGGGGGCCTGTCAGGGTGGGAGGCAAGGGGAGAGAGAACATTAGGACAAATACCTAATGCATGTGGAGCTTAAAACCTAGAAGATGTGTTAATAGGTGCAGAAAACCACCATGGCGCATGTATACCTATGTAACAAACCTGCACATTTTGCACATGTATACTAGAACTTAAAACAAAAACAATGAAATTAATTTAAAAAAAAAGAGTCACAGTGGAATGAGGAAGCCTTGATTTTTGGAGTTAGGAAAGATATTACAAATAATCTAGTCTGTGTTTTTCATTTTATAAATGAGGGAACTAAGGCCCACAAAGGTCCAATTACTATTATAAGATTATACATCTAGGTAATGGCAAAGCTAAAACTCCTCCCTCAGATTCCTGCTCTCTATTCTAGCCCTATGTGCATTATAGCATTCTACACCTACTGTAGCAGTAAAAACATAGGTATTATTGCAGAACAGCATATGGTTCCACTTTTTGAATGACATACATTTAAAAACCACTATCCAGTATGCATATACAGCCTTAAATGAGAGTCTATCTTAGAACACAGCAATTGGCAATGTGTTCTTTTCTCAGTTACTTCAATTTTTCTCTATGGAGTCTCCATCTGTCCAGCAAAACATAAGTATTTTGATGAAAACCTTAAACTTCTAAGGAAAAAAATCACTAGATGGCTAATGTTAGATACATTTACAAAGCAAATAAACTTTTGTCAATAAGTAAGGGAAAGGATTATAGAGTAAGCTCTCCAAAGAATAAACTATTGAGTTCCAACCCCTCAGACTTGTGAGAGTGTGTCAAGGTTCCTCTGCACTCACGGGGGCATTAGAAGGTTGGTTCTTTTTCTTTTAGTGCATCACAAGCATAGAGTAGTATTAAAATTGATTTGGACACAGGAGTCCATCTTAAAGTGGATCATGTGTGACCTTGTACGTTGTTCCCACAGTTAGGTAAACTCCTCCCCCTTCTCTTCCAACCACCGTGCCAAAGCCCTCTAAAAATCTCATATGTTATTGCTTTGCAAACTCAAATCCTGTACATTTGTCCTTGAATATGACAGTAATGTATAGTTTATTTTCCAGATGGAGAAAGTCTTTGTCATAAAAATCAATAACTTTAAAATATATATATTAGTTAACAGTAACTTGGAATTGATTCAAAGGAAAAATAAAGCTATTTTCACCATTAGTAAGTCCAAGGGAATCATAAAACTCTCAGTGGTGTTTGAATCAAAATATAGGCTACTCTCTCTTCAATTAATGGAAGTCACATCGGAATGTAAAATGGTGTTACTTTATGAAAGTTCTTAAATTTTTTTATATTTTTATTATGTATTGCCTTTAGTTTAAATTTCTACATAAAATGACTGAGGCATATTTTTGAATCTAATTATACATTCAAAAATATTTCTCTCTAAATATAAAGAGCAAATATATTAACTTCAGATATCCCAAACTTGACAATATGTTAAGGTTATGTATATTATTAGTTTTTCTATATAACTCACATGCTAAACTAATGATATTTAAATAAAAACATTTTTATATTTTAGGTCACAATTTGGCTCCTTAAAGTCTAAAAGGAAAAAAACATTTTTAACACCTAATAGAAATATTTCTGAGACTTTTAGTGAAAGTTAAAGTGGACTAAAACCATTAAACTATACAGGAAAGTATGTTTCACTGCCTGGATTAAATTAAGAGTTTCCTTAAAAATACATATTTTGATATAGAAAATATTTTTTCAGAATGTTACTCAGTTTAAATACATGTCTATAATAACATTGCTTTAAAAGTGAAACCAATTAATTTTGTTTCATTATTCAAACTGGGAAAAATACATAAGCAGTAAAAAAAAAGTAATGAAATAAAATGCATAGGTGGTGGCTGATTTATGTCTTTTTTAGTCTTTTAGCTATTTTATATGACTTTCAGTTTAATAATTCAGCATAGTATTACAAGCAAAAATTAAACTTTCTCTGTGTGTCCGATTTCTTTCTGACCATGCCACTTCCATGTGTTCTCTCAATATGAGTTAACAAGACAAATGAGCAGAGAAACTGCGAGGCTCCATGCTGCAGAAGGAAAATGCTCCCAGGGAACATCTGCTTTGAGTAAAGTAATTTAATTGCAAAGATCATGGTGGTATGTCAAGATTTATTTCAAGAGAAGAGCAAGGAAGCAAAAGAGGGCAGTGGGAACCCTTGACACCCTCCTTCCTTATGGAATTTTATCATCAGCAGTGAAGGGGCCAAGAAAAATCTGTCTTCTTTTGCTTTCCTTTGTATCAATTTCCTCTTCTGAAATAAGGAAGTCTAAACAAAACAGCCTGGAGTTTGAAATATTTTATATATGTATGAAATATTTTCTGTATATCTTTTTCTGTACACACACATGCAAAACATGCACACATACATATATTCTAGCTCTTGCCATATTTAGACATGTTCAGTAAAATCCACCTTAGAGAATTTATAGAGGCTGCTAATTTTCCTGAGATTTCCAAGTCTATTTAAATCTATACAATGAGTGAATGTCATTAAATGAATCTGTAGGCTCAGGATCAGTGGTTCACATATATACATCCAAGACCAACAATAAAAAGCTTTCTAACCAAGGCTTATGTCGGGACAATGCTTATCTACGAAGTAACATGGACTAGACTGTGATTTATGGAGAAATGGTGGCATAGATACAGGTAGAGAAAAAGAGATAGGTTGACTGATTATAGCAGAAATCTGCTTTTGTACGATCTGTTCAGATATTTGGCATCATTAAAATGTTTATGGAATGATGTCTATTGTGTGAGGCATTAGCATACGTTTTTAGAGACAGTGGTTGAGATAGCAAATATTCAGAATTTAGGGCATTCATCAGACCTACTAAGACAGGCAGGCACAGAGCACACAGTGGTGTTATAGATGTCAGTAGTTCCCAGAGTGCCCAGGTTAGTTCTTCTCTTTCTCTTCAACTATTCCAGTTGCCTCTCAGATACATATATGAACCAAGAACAATCCTTTTGCCTTAGAGAAGTGGAAGGAAGCAAGGAGCATCTTATAACACCATTTAGAATGAAGTAAAAAATGTGAACTCTATGACAAGCCAAGCACATTCAAACATGAAGATGAACAGATTGAAGTAGATGCTTAGCGATGTCTCCCAACACATAATTCAAGGCTGACCAGCGAGTGGTGAGGCTAATCTTTGGAGAGGCAAAATGGATCTAGACATGCAAGTCTTTTCTTTCGTTTCTACTTGTGGGTGGTCTGAGTGCCCTTGGACCACTTCTATGTTCTTGTATCATTGGAGGTTACTCAATAAAACTAAAATGCACTGTTGATAGTTGCTAACATTTGGTATGCATAAACTAAAATTAGCATGATACTTAAGTTTGCTAAAGACTTTAATTCCATAATCTTAATAGAGTTCCAGGGATTGAATAATATTATACAGCTCATCTTGTACAGGAGAGCTAATGAATGGTAAAAGTCAAGACCAGAAGCATTTTTCACACTAGCACAGTGCTCTTAATAATCCATTCAGCTAAATCATGGGTTGTATCACAAAACTAGAGTTTTATATACTTTTATAGTCCAGAATAGGAGGTCAAATCTAAGAAGAGGAAACTTGCATAGGAGTAGAAATTGTACACTTTTAGACTTCATTTTGAAATACCAGCTGCAAAGTGCAGAATTAGGAAGTCTTTGCTTTATATGTACGTTGATGATAAACAACATCACACTTTAGGAGAAACACTGATGAACTTGACTTTGTGCAGGGAAGGATGAATGGTCTGGGAAACATACAATTGAAAGTACTGAATATGGAGAAAGGATTTAGAGTAAGTAGTTGTCAGATGGAAAAGAGATTTATTATTCTGTAGGGTTCTGTGGCTTCATTTGTGAAAATACAGAGAAAAGATGTGGTAGACATTTCCATAAAAGGGGATGCTTTTTTCTGATAGTTTTCTACTCTGAAAGTGGATAATTGTACTAATCTTTGGGCCACAAACGATAAGGAAACGTCTACTTAGCATCCAAAATCTTTAGAGCATATAGGGAACAATGTGCTGTTCCCAGTTCCCTTGTTTGAATGAGGGACTACTTTTCTTACTACTGGAAGTGCTGCTGACTGATAGCTCTCATGTATCACAAGGCTGTGGAGTGGTATATCCAGAATCAGACACACATAAGGCTGGGACACACAAATAATCTGCAGGTAGTCTACACCTTAGAAGCCCCATGATACCTATCACTGATGCCCCAGTGCCCATCTCTCCACTTATTCCTGTTACAGTATCAAGGACACTCGCTTTATAGCAAAGGAAATGAAGCAGTGGGCACATGTCCATGTAATCTAGAGCTTGTGTCCCGTACCACACTCCCAGAAGCTGTAGGGCTGACCAACCTAATCGTTTAGGATGCTGAGTACTCTCTGAATTGATGATAGTTTTATGATGTTGTGCCCCTAGTGAATAGAATGACTGGGCTTGTCCCATTCATTCTTTTGTCCTCTTCGAGAAATTTTGCTTCCCTGCTCTAAATATCTGGGGTTCTGTGTGGTGAAATGTCCTGGTTCCCAAAAAGGGAGTGCTTCCAGCAGATGGCCCAGTATGCATCCCACTGAACTTAAAGCTACACTGCTACCTACACACTTCAGAATTCTCAGGCCAAGCTGCCAGCAGGCAAGACAAAGAGTTTCCATCATGACAGACATAACTGACCATGATCATCAGAGGGAGGCACAGCTGATGACACACAACAGGAGCAGGGAGGAACATGCTTGGCATGCAGGTGATCTATTTGGGCATCCCTTGCCCAATTTTGATGGCAAATGGATGTGTGCTGCCACCTGAGAAGAGTACAATGACAAGAGGTTCACATAACTCAGGGATGAAGGTCTAGGTCATGCTACCAGGTAAATTGCCCAGAACAGCAGAAGCAAGAGCTGAGGGTAAGCAGTGTCTGGATTGGACAGAAGAAGGAGACAATCAGTATTGCTGGTGGCCTTCAGATCAGTAATGTGGGCTATATTTTTCCCATCACTTTCCTTTACAAAAAGAGTTTTCCTCACAAAAAGGGTTCCATCAGAATCATGGAGGAATTGTTCTCAAAACTTGAATCCCTCCTCTGGCTCCAACACCGCCTGCTCTTCCAAGTCACCAACATCTTTCACCGGAAACACTGTCTTGTCTCATCGGTCCACCATTATCCACCACATCACAGCTAGAGTGAACTGTCAGTCACAGATGTCAGATCATGTTATTTTTCTGCTAACAACACCCCAATGGTTTTCCATTGCCCTCAAAATCAACTTGAACTTCATGGCCCCAGGCTGCTCCACAGACCTCATCTATGGTTCTCCCTCCTGCTCATCTGGGCCAGCCACATTGGCTTCACTCTTTGTTGAGCTAAACTCCTTTTCATATCAGGAGTTTGCTCTGCCCTTCTGTGCCTGGGATGCACTTTCTCATGATCTTCACACGGCTGGTGGTATCATTTCCTTCATGTCTCTGCACAGATGTCACTTCCTCAGAGGGGTCTTTCTAGACACTGTATATAAAATATCCTGTGTCATCCATTACATCCTAACTGGTTAGTTGGCTTTATTTTTTTTTTCATTGTACATGTAACAATTTCTAATGAGATTGTTATTTTATTATTAACATGTGATTAAGGTATTAACTATTATTTAGGTATTACTGTGAACATCCCCCACTTAGTGTAAGCTACGTACATGGTAATAAGTCCTTTATTGCTCTTGTTTAGCTTCATATCTCTAGCACCAAGAATACTGCCTGGGCATGTGCTAATTTTTCAGTAATTATTTATTGAATTAATTAATGATGCATATATAATATTTATTAAAGATTGACCAATGGGGTCCTTCAGTGAATTTGTTGCTATTGTTTGAAAGGCATTTAGTTGCTTTTTTTTTTTTTCAAAGAATAAGCCCAAACTAGAGACCACTCTTAAGAATATTATGATTGAAAAATCTGTATATTTATCATATTTTTTAAAATTATGCATTTACATGACTAAAGTGTATCGTATATAACCCTGAAAAAACTTCTGCTCTCCAGTTTAATTTGGTAAGAGTATTTAATACGCCTGAGCCAGATTTTGAGTATAAACTTCCAAATGAGTCATTCTTTCTTTGTGAACATTTATCCTACCTGTTTCCACCACTTCCTCTGGGGAGGTTAATCTAAATTCTGATAATGCCAAGAAAGGCAGAACTTAAGTTTTATTCTTATTATTAACAAGTTTAAATGAGTTCTTTTGAAGGTTTCCTTTTATTTGAAACACATAATTGTGACTTTCTAAATTGAAGTCAGCCGTTAATATATAATTCAGAGCCTACTGGATGACTTTTCTTTGTGGATACTGACATCACTGTTCTCCTTCTCAATGGTACAAACAAAAACATTTCAGAAAATAGACCCTTGTCTATTGTTACAGTAAAGGGCATAAGTATTCAAGGCTAATATTTTTCAAGGTAATCTTTTAGGTAACTATAGACACTGTCCTGCCATTTTTATGGAGGAGAGCCTATTGATTTACATTTTTTTAAAAAAACAAAAAGATTTGATGAAATGTTCAGTTAACCAACCTGAAAACCCTTTTATATTTGTTTTGTAAGGAGTCAAGCTTGACTTCTTAAAATTTAGATGTTAAATGACATCTCCTAGGAACATTCAGAAATAGAGATAGTTAGAAAAATAAATTAGGAAATTAGCTCACAGGACCCTTCGTTAGGGATCTTTGGTCATAGTGAGTCATCTCTTTAAAGAAAGATGAGTTACTACCTTTAAGGGAACTGAAGTTACCAGGACCAAATCACAGCATGGCTTATCTGCTTCCTCCCTCCCTCAAAAGTAAGATCCTCTCTGAGACACAGAAGTGTCTGGTTAAATTTTATCTCAAGACAGCCTACTAGGGACAAAGTGCATTCACCTACTGTGGTAGACAGAATAATGCTTCCTGGAAGATGTCCATGTCCTTCTTCCTAGAACCTGTGAATACGTTAACTTATATGGCAACAGACACTCTGCAGACGCAATTAACAACCTTAAGATGGAGAAGTTATCTTGAGTTATCCAGGCAGGCCCAATGTAATCACAAGGGTCCTGGTAGGAGATCAGAAGAGCCAGTGATGTGACAATAGACAAAGGTCAGAGTTATGTGGTCATGAGCCAAGGAGTGTCGGCTGCCTCTAGAAGCTAGAAAAGGAAAGGAACAGACTCCGTCTTGAAACTTCCAGAAGAAACTGGCTGTGCAAATACCCCATAGGACTCATTTTGGCCTTCTTATCTCCAGAGCTGGTAAGGGAAGGAATTTATGTTGTTAAAGCCACTAGGTTTGTGATGATTTATTACAACAGCAATAGAAAATGAATACACCTACATTACCTTGACCACAATTTAGGGTGAAGACACTAGTTAAATATTTGCTTGTAGCTCACCCTCTACATTTGGGCATAAGAAAAGCTCTTCAGAGTGTGGTTTTGAGGTAAGGTGATACAAGGAAGTAGAGATTCACTTCAGCATGTAAGTTTAGTTTAAGCTCAAGCATTTATATCTTAAATTTTTTATTTATCTACTCAAATCTAGTCTAAATCTAGTGTAGTGTTTCTGAGCAAAAGGCATAATTCTAATGAAAGCATAGAAAAAGTCTCCAGGATTATATGTGTAATTTGAGTAAGGCATGGCTTAATTTCAAATGAAATAAAATCAGAACATGAGATTTAAGATTGAGAAATGCTGACTTAGAGGCACTGAGACTTGCCTCCATTTCCTTGGAAATTTTTCTTGTATCTTATTTTTCCTCTTCACTATCATTATGACAGTTTCCTATTGTATTATATTTAGTTCCTTAACAATACCATTGATTTCTCTAATATTAGGATCATGCCTTAATCATTTATGTAATTCACACTTAGCACAGGAATAACTATTTAGCTTATGCTGAATATGTGTTTAGTAAATTTGAATTCTTACTCTGGGATTTTAGGATATTTTACTGAATACCTATAATTTTAGCTCCTTTGCCAACTATTGTAGAAGTTTTGCCATGTGAATGCCAATGAAAGCATTTGGTACTTTTGATCAATAAATCATTATTTGTCTCTATTAAAACTACACATGTATCCTGTATCCAATTTTCATCTCCCAATTGTTTGATGAACCTTCATTGTTTTATTTAAAATTATTTTTTTCTAGAATGTTAATGAGAGAGCCTTTAGAAATAGTTACATTACCTCTTAAAAAGGTTAATTTTTTTTATTTTGTTGGTTGACTTCTCAGGACTTTTTTCCATTTTGGCCTTCAGAAATAAACAAATTAAATTATGAAACTATTTCTTTCCTTATTCTTTCACATCTTTGCTCCCTATTTTTTTCTTTTGCCTCATCCAAGTAGGGATTCTCCCACCTGGATTTTAAATCTCTTGATTTGTATCTGGCCCTGTTCCATAATGGATTTATGTCTTATTTTATCTGTAAACTATTATATTAATCTGAACCCTGGAATCTTCTAAGTGACATAATCACTTACAGTGTTATTAATATCTCCTTCTGAAAATATTATTTTGATCTGAGAGTTTCAACCTAATTCATCCTGGAATCATAAATTTCTGAGTTACTAACTTTATCTACCACCACTCCTGTCCTCTATGTCCCTGTTCAGATAGAACAGGGGCCAGAAAGAGTTCTTAATCTCTTCCTTATATATATCAAAAGTAAAAATTAAGAGCTTCACTGAGAAAGGTTACTACTCCATTAGATCTTTAATTCAAGTGGTCATAATTAAAAAAAATTAAATTTTGTGCATTCTTTATAGACTAAATTTTCTCTGAAAGTAGGTAATTTTGAGGTAGAACAAACTAATGCCTACAAAAGAGACTTCTTTCATTACCAGCTGAGGAGTATTTTTGAATATCGATCCCTGGGAATGCATTTACTCTTTTGAATATTAACTACTTTGATCATACAGAATGGTTTTTTTACATTGAGAAATAGAAATCTCTATTTTTTCTGTAGTGAAAGTTCACAACACATAACAGTCCAATAATTTTATCACTTTCACTCATAAAATAATTTCGGAGTGGGAAGAGACATCCCACCCAAAAAAAAAAAAGGAAAAGGAAAAAAAAAAGTAAGGAGAAAACTCATTTTAAAAAATGAAATATCGAACTGTAGAAATGTTTTTAAAAGTAGCATTGTTCCTTTAAATTTACTGCTGACCACAATGGTTTGTAATTTTCCTTACAAAAACTGGATTTTCCCAGCATGACACCCAGTGCTGGCATCAATATCAGACACTTAAAAATACTCATGCCAAGGAGTTAACAGGAAATATCTTGGCAAATTCAGAGTCAAAAGGAAAGCACAAAATTGTCAGAACGCATATCGTGTTTCTCAGAATTATCTGTATCATGTTGGAAGTTTTTATACGGAAGTGTGTGTTGACACAAATGATTAAGGCCAGGATTCCTACAATTGACAGGAAAATGGCCTATAAATAATGATCTGTGATGGACTTGTCATGCAGTCATTAAGTGAAATATTCTAGTACTAGTTTCCTCTCTTTGGTATCCCAGTTTCCGGCTTCTGTGAAGTACTTTTCCTTTGCGAAGATCACTCATTTTACCTGAGACCATCAGATTTTCTCTGGGCTTTATTAAATAATAATTTCATTCACTCTCTTAGCAGATAACAATATCACTTTAGAGTTTCACAAGCCTTTTGGAACACAATTCTGCTTACACAAAATTTTTTTCTGAAGAGACTCATTTCTATTGCTACCTAAAATGCAAAATAAACTTCTTGAAATCTTGAAAGTTTAGAATGTTTTCAAGTTTCAGATAAAAATTAATTTTTTAAGTCATTAAGCAGCCAGTTGGTCTAGTTGGTCTATTATTTTATATAATGTATTATCTATTTTTCAGTTAAATGAATAAATTTTGATTTAATTCTTTGGGAAATGGTATTCAGAAAATTGCAAATGAGATATTATAATTCAATTATCTCACCATATATGTATATCATAAATGAAATGTAAATTTCAAAAAAACCTAATTTTATTAACCAAACCGAGGACAGTGGATGAAATCATAGTTCACTTTTAATTTTCAGAGGCCCCAGCCAGGTTTTCTTTTTTGTCATTTCTCCTTCTAACTCGAAAACACCCTATGAACCAGTGGCCTATTTTCATTCCTTCTTCTTTCTCTTCTTTCTTTCCTTCCCTCATGTCTGTGGGTAAGAGATTGCAGAGGAAAAGTAATATGTGATAAGCCCTGTCTTCTAAACCCACAAGCAGGATACATGGATTAAGGCACTTAAAGGAAAAGAAAAATGAAGAATTTTTAAAACCATGTTACATTATCACCTAGTATATTACATTCATATATAATGTCATAGAAGCAAATATATAATTAAGCCTGAGAAGTGCTTACAGATATCAAAATATGAGGGCTACATCACCAACTGAGAATCAGTACCCTATAAATTCTATAGTTAATGACTTATGTTGCTCATTCTAAAGGGTAACATTGGGATAACATTTTTAGAAGCAATTTTTTTTTAGGACAAACATTTTATTTATTTATTTTTTAAATCTAATTTTATTGTTTTATTGCATTTTAGGTTTGGGGGTACATGTGAAGAACATGAAAGATTGTTGCATAGGTACACAAATGGCAGTGTGATCTGTTGCCTTCCTCCCCATCACCTATATCTGGCATTTCTCCCCATGCTCTCTCTCCCCAACTCCCCACCCCCTGCTGTCCCTCCCCTATTTCCCCACGACAGACCCCAGTGTGCGATGCTCCACTCCCTGCATCCATGTGTTCTCATTGTTCAACACCTGCCTATGGGTGAGAACATGCAGTGCTTGATTTTCTGTTCTTGTGTCAGTTTGCTGAGAATGATGGTTTCCAGGTTCATCCATGTCCCTACAAAGGACACGAACTCATCGTTTTTGATGGCTGCATAATATTCCATGGTGTATACGTTTCACATTTTCCCGGTCCAGTCTATCATCGATGGGCATTTGGGTTGGTTCCAGGTCTTTGCTATTGTAAACAGTTCTGCAATGAACATTTGTCTGCATGTGTCCTTATAGTAGAAGGATTTATAATCCTTTGGATATATACTCTGTAATGGAATTGCTGGGTCAAATGGAATTTCTATTTCTAGGTCCTTGAGGAATCGCCACACTGTCTTCCACAATGGTTGAACTAATTTACATTCCCACCAACAGTGTAAAAGTGTTCCTATTTCTCCACATCCTCTCCAGCATCTGTTGTTTCCAGATTTTTAAATGATCGCCATTCTAACTGGCATGAGATGGTATCTCAATGTAGTTTTGATTTGCATTTCTCTAATGAGCAATGATGACAAGCATTTTTTTCATATGTTTATTGGATTAATGTATATCTTCTTTTGTAAAGTGCCTGTTCATATCCTTCGTCCAATTTTGAATGGGCTTGTTTGTTTTTTTTCTTGTAAATCTGTTTCATTTCTTTTTAAATTCTGGATATCAGCCCTTTGTCAGATGGGTAGACTGCAAAAATTTTTTCCATTGTGTTGGTTGTCAGTTCACTCTAATGACTATTTCTTTTGCTGTGCAGAAGCTGTGGAGTTTGATTAGGTTCCATTTGTCTATTTTGGATTTTGTTGCCAATGCTTTTGGTGTTTTTGTCATGAAGTCCTTGCCTATACCTATGTCCTGAATGGTTTTGCCTAGATTTTCTTCTAGGGTTTTTACGGTGTTAGGTCTTACATTTAAGTCTTTAATCCATCCGGAGTTAATTTTAGTTAAGGTGTCAGGAAGGGGTCCAGTTCCTGCTTTCTGCACATGGCTAGCCAGTTTTCCCAATACCATTTGTTAAACAGGGAATCCTTTCCCCATTGCTTTTGTCAGGTTTCTCAAAGATCAGATGGTCGTAGATGTGTGGTGTTGCCTCTGAGGCCTCTGTTCTGTTCCATTGGTCTATATTTCTGTTTTGCTACCAGTACCATGCTGTTTTGATGACTGTAGCCTTGTAGTATAGTTTGAAGTCAGGTAGCGTGATGCCTCCCACTTTGTTCTTTTTGCTTAGAATTGACTTGGCTATGCAGGCTCTCTTTTGGTTCCATATAAAGTTTAAGGTGGTTTTTTCCAGTTTTGTGAAGAAGGTCATTGGTAGCTCGATGGGGATAGCATCAAATCTGTAAATTACTTTGGGCAGTATGGCCATTTTCACGATATTGATTCTTCCCAATCATGAACATGGAATGTTTCTCCATCTATTTGTGTCCTCTCTTATTTCGTTGAGCAGCGA